TGAAAAACATTTATTTCAGTCAAATGGGAAATCGAATAATACAATCCAAAAGCTCACGTAAAAGTTTGCTTTACAGTATACTCCAACATTTATTATGATGGAGTGTTGATGTAAAGAAGGTGATGTTGTCTCCTTTGCTACCCTATATAAAGGAGCATCAGCATAGGCTCGAAATTCACATCATAATAAGCAAAGTCTTAGCTATAGAGGGTAAGAAAGAGAGATAAATCGAGAGAAATCTTGACGAAGATAAGTTGAGATCAACTTCCGAAGTTTCATTTTCAAATTTCTTGAAGAAGGTTAGATGCTACCTTTTTATCATATGTTATAGTTTATATTAAGTGAATATTGATGTATTTTCATACCATATATATATATATATTCAATTTTTAAAGAAATTTTAAGCATGAAAAAAAAAATGATAAGTTGTTTCCAGCACAATCACATGTTTTGATTTGAATCATGCCATATATATGTACTGTTTTGATTTGAATTTGAGCATGATATGCATAACCTGGCATGTTAAGCTTATTATGGATATTTCTTGTGTAAGTGCTGAGTATATAGGTGAAAGAATTATGTCATTTGTCATAGTATAGCTTGAGTTATAAATTTTTGAAGTTAAGCATGCAAGTTGAATTTTATGTTCTTTATTTCAGCTGTGACTTTAAAATTGTAATAACTCGATATATACGCATGATAAAATTATGAAATTTTTACGACATGCTTATATATGGGTTAAGAACATGACTGCCAAATTTCATGATTTTATGTTGAGAAATGAACGAGTTAAAATATTTATATGGCATACATGTCAAGATGATTTTATATGCAAGAGTATTCAGTACATGGTTGAGTTTTTAAAATGGAATTTTTAGGAAAAATTCATATATGAGTGATGAGCAATTTGACCAAGTTCCAGCTCAATATGTTGAGTATGTGATTTTATAAAATTGTTTCAAGTCTAGTATATCAATATCATAATTTATTGTTATGATAAAAACTTGTATTGAATAAGTATCAAGTTTGAGATTTTAATATCAAGCAAGTTTAAGACAAGTTTGATAGATTAAAAATCCGTATAAATCATGTATATGATATTGGTAAAAGTTGAACATGTTTTGAGTTCATATATTCAATTAAGTCTAATGTGAAATTTAGTTTATTTTCACATACGAGTTATTTAAGTGACATGCGAGTATAAGCCAATATCTAAGATTTTGAAAGATATGATTTATATGGGTTAAGTATTTGACCTTGAGTAAAAGTTTAAGAAAAGTTTGGTTTTTCAATGATTTAGTATTCATTTGAGCAATAGCATGTTTAATGAATATCTTTAAGATTCGGATAAGTTATCTGGTAGAGTTAAGAATCCCAGCATATTATTGAGTATACGAGCATAATACTTAGTATATTTGTTTATATTGTTATGTAGCTTGAGGAGTTAGCTACCAAAGAACAACACTTACGCTTTTCAAAGTTTCAAAAGAAGAAAGGTGGGGACCCAGACTGGGTATTACATTGAGTATAATATTGATATCATGTTCGAGGTATGTATACAGTTTAAGTTTATACGCTTGGGATGAGGAGGCATTCAGTTGTCTCAGAGTATATCCTAAGTTCTGATGGAGGCCGTTTGAGTTGCCTTGAGAAATATCCATCAGATTGTGCACAAGTATCCGATTAGATATCGGCCAGATTCAGTTTAAGTTACTGGAACAGATTTCCAGTCAAGATATATACCAAAGATCATGATATTGTATTATTATTGATGTTTACTTTAGTATGGGTGATTTCGGGGTACAAGAGGATCAGTACTCACCCCCATTGTGTTTTTCAGGTAACAGGGTCGGGCTGGAGGTGTGAGCTCAAGATGTGGTGGTGGTGGTCGTGCACTTCTTTAAGTGGACATTTATTATGAACTTGATATGTCTGTATAATTATTCACGTTTTTAAGTATTGCCGCTACGCATATTGAGACTTGAACTTGCATTCTAATAAATTTCAGATTTCAAGTTTTTATCATTTCAGAAGTATGAATATGATATAGTTAAATGCAAGTTTAATTAAATCTGTTTTCTTTATGTCTAAAGAAATATTAGACAAAGTTTAAAGATAAACGGATTTCCAGAAAAGATGAGTTTGAGTAGCATCCCGAGTTAGTCGCAAAAGATTTCGAAAGAGTTATAAGTATTTTCGAAGTAAAAGTTGCGAAAAATTTACTCTGATGAGCGGGGTGTTACAGACATAAATAGAAAAATATTAATTTATTTTAGATATTTTTAGAAATAAATTTGAGTTATCATGTCTTTTACTTTATATTAAATTCAAAATTACATAGTTTAATATATTAATAAATGTTTATTATTTATTTTTTTCCTTATGTGATATAATCTAAATTTGATTCTTAGATTTTTAAATTCAAACATTTAAAGAAAAAGATCCTAAACATATTTATTTGGATAAATTTCATTTTATCTTGACTTTCATATAATCACATTCCTAACAAACTAGTTAATATTATATTTTTTTATCCACATTATCTAACTGATTTTTTTAAGATACAATTAATATAATATTTTAACTAATTAATGATTTATCTAACCAGATTTATCTCTCTAACAAACTTGCTAATTTTTTTAAAATTAGAATGATATGATTATTCTTACGTAGATACTTACCATGTATTAAACATTTAGAAACTTTTTAAAAAATTGAGTTGTCCCTCTATTTACTTTATTTTAAATTCTAAGTTATATTTTTAAATATATTATTATTTATTTATTGTTACGTGATAAATGTTTATTATTTATTATCTACGTGATAAATATTATTTATTTATCTCTTTAATAAATATTTATTATTTATTTTTCCTTACGTTATATAATCTAAATTTGGCTATTAGATTCTTAAATTCAAACATTTAAAGGAAAAGATCACAAGCAGATTTTTTGGATACATTTCATTTTATCTTAACTTCCATATAATCACATTTTTAACAAAATAATTAATAATAAGAATTCTCTCGTTCTCGTTGAGAGCAAGAAAACCCTATTCTCTCGTTGAGAGCAATTTCAGATTTCCGATGTTTGCCTGATTCTTCAATCTCCCTATTGTTCCCAATTTCACCTATTCTGTAGTTCCTAATTCTTCTGTTCTCTCCGTATCCCCAAATGGACGATCGCTTTAAAGCAAGCCACGATGACGATCTATCGGAGCGGCTTCAATGCTTTTCCCTTTCCGACAGAGAAGCATCTATAATTGATATAGCCCAGGACGATATCAAGATCAGTGCGGATGAATGCCAACGGAGTCTCTTTGGGAAAATCGTCGGCGATAGAAGGGCGAGTTAGATCGGAGTCAAAAGAATGATGACCCAAATCTGGCAAATCTCCCAACTTATGGAGGTCAAAGAACTTGGCCCAAATTATTTTCAGTTCATTTTCCAAAGTAAAGACGATCTCAAGAAGGTAGCCAGTGGCACTCATTGGAGTTTCGAGAATCAATTCTTTATCCTCTCTGAATGGAAAGATAACATCTCCAGCAATCATCCATGCCTTAAGGAGCTTAATATCTGGGACATGTTCTTAATACTCCTCTTAACTGACTTAGCACAGATGTCGGACTTAGAATAAGAGGAATCTTTAAGGATGTAAAAAATGTAGTAATTGTGAGCTCCGACAACCATGGGGGCAGAATCCTCCGGCTTCTTGTTACGCTCAATTTAGAAGAGCCTCTACCTAGGTGTGCAAGCATCCGGTTGGGAGAGCAGCTAGTTAATGTCAGTTTCCGATATGAAAAGTTAGTCAACCTCTGCCACTATTGCGGCTTCATCGGACATCTAGACAAGGGATGTGGTAAGCGTTTGACAGATATCCGCAACAAAACAGTTAAAGAGGGTCAATAAGGAGACTGGTTAAAAGCGATGGATGGTACCAATTGGGTGGAAGTTAGCCTCTCAGGATCCAAAAGTTCACCCCAACAGCCCGCCCCAATCCCCTAATCGGAGAATGCTTTCAAATCATCTCAGCATGCATGTACTAATCAAAACAATGATGAGTTCCAGCTTACTCCGATATCCAAAGGACATGATGGAAATGGAGTTGACCCTCACAGCCATAAGACAGCCTCCATATCTTCTAATGTTCCAAATTCTAACATCCAAATGGAAGTTGAGGATACTACTCCAGAGCATTCAAACTTGCCCAAGGAGCTGCCCTTAACCACCTTCCACTCACAGGAGGAAGGACCTATCTCAGTTAAAACAGGTCTCTAACCTCAAAGTGCCAATACAGATAAATCCAAAACATGGAAGCAGCAAGGTAACAAAGTGGGCAAGCTGCAGAGGCAAATTGAAAAGACTACTACTCAGTATCCACCCACACATACTGATAAGAGAACCAGAGCCATTGTTGAAGTTCCCATATGAATCAAGGAAGAATCAACTCCACAAAAGAAGGAGACAAAAAAACTCAAATCAAAACCGGAAAAGGTGGTGGTTGCCTGCCTTGAATGGCACCCACATAGACCATGTTAGCTACGGTGTGGAACTATAGAGGGCTGGGTGGGCCCTCTATGGTTTCCCAAATGCGAGAATCAATCAGGACTTATCACCCACTTTTGTTTTTTATTTCTGAGACTAAGAAAAATAATGGTTTTGTTAAATCTGTAGGAAAAAAGCTTGGTTATGATGACAGAATGCTCATTGTCGACCCTCAAGGCTTAAGTGGGGGATTACTACTATTATGGGATCATAATATTCAAATCATCCAGACTCTTAGCAAGTCCTTCTACATCGCCATCGAATTTCAGCAGCAATCCAAAAATAGCCAATGGGGTATCTTCGTATACCTCAGCACCTGCAAGAACATCAGAATCCAGCAATGGCAAGAGTTAGAGTAGGATAAACATCTGTGGGGAGATCGGTGGTTCATAATCGGTGATTGGAACGACATCCGTTTCCAGAGTGACAAACAAGGTGGATCTCCCAGAAGTACCAGCAGCATGTTAGACTTCAACAATTTTGTCAATTTGATGGATATGGAGGAAATCCGTATGCTCGGCTATCCGTTTACCTAGTGTAATCTAAGAGCAGAGGAAGAAATGGTTGAAGAAAAACTTGATCGAGCTTTCGGATCGGTTGAATGGCTTAATTCCTTTCCAAATGCCACAGTATCTACTGTTCTTCTCAGCTCCTCTGACCACTCACTGCTACTTCTTAATCAAGGCCTTCCTAAATCCAGTCGACAGAATAGATTTCACTTTGACAAGCGTTGGTTGAAACAAGAAGGCTTTGATGAAGTTGTTCAACAAGCATGGACTATCCCTCAACAAGGAACCCCCTTCTTTAGACTCAAAGAAAAAATCAAGCACACCCGCATTGCTCTTCTCAAATGGAGTTCATCCTTATTTTCCCAGAATAAAATCAAAATTGATCTTCTCACCAAAAACTGGAAAGGCTGAGACAAGGTAGGCCAGATAATTATTGGACTGAATGGGAATGCACGAGGGCTGAGTTGGAGAAAGCACATATATATGAGGAATTGCACTGGCAACAGAAAGCCCGACATCGATGGCTAAAAGAGGGTGACTGCAATACAAAATTTTTCCACGCCTATACTAAACACAGGAGGAGGCTTTCCCCAGCGCTGTATAAGTCAGTCTCATAGGATATTAAACTTGGTATTCTTTTCTTTGGACGGATGACTTACTTCTTAACAGCTGGGTAGCTATCCAGGTTTTGACCCCGCCAACCAATGGTCCCAACACAACTGAACTTGCTATTTGGCGTCCTCCAACAGAACACGGGAGTGACACATCGAGAAGGTAATTCCCTCTCATTTTCCCCCATTAAGATGGCTAACGACTAAATGCCATCACAAGATTGATAACCCCAGAAGGTAGAGAGGTCTCATCCCCAGATACACTAGTGAATCACATCTCAGACTTCTACTTTAATCTCTATTCATCTGAAGGATTACCGGGAGGGGGGGGGGACTCTTTTGTCAATCTTATTCCCAAATCCATCACTTCGGACATGAACCGGAGCTTGATCAAACCGGTGGAAGAAGAAGAAGTAAAATCAGCTCTCTTCAGTCTTCACCCAGACAAAACTGTAGGAGAAGATGGAATGAATGCAGCTTTCCACCAACACTTCTGGGTTCTCATCAAGTCAGACCTCATGGCAGCCCTGGTTAGTTTCTTTCAATCTGGCCTAATACTCAAATACTGGAACCATACAATTCTGTCTCTAATCCCTAAGTGTGAAAATCTTGAATCTCTGAGCCAGTTTCGCCCTATCAGTTTGTGCACGGTTATTTATAAAACTCTTTCTAAACTGCTGGCACAAAGACTCAAAGATTGTCTGGGTTGCTGTATCAGTGATTTTCATTCTGTATTCCTTAAAGGAAGACAACTCATTGACAATGTTATAATAGCTCAGGAAGCCTTCCACTTCCTCAACCGGCACTCCTCTGGCAAGAACTGTTTTATGGAAATTAAATTGACCTTATGAAAGCGTTTGATAGAATTGAGTGGATCAATCTGGAAAAACTCATGACTCAAATGGGTTTCATAATCATTTTGTTCAATTAATTAAGATTTTCATATTCACTTTATAATATTCATTCAAGATTAATGGAACTGTGAGTGGCTTTGTTTCTCCCACGAGAGGTTTAAGGCAAGGGGATCCCCTAGCCCCTTACCTTTTCATTATTGTGACTGAGCTCCTGTCTGCTCTTATTCTTGATGCTACTGCCAAAGGTCATCTGCAGGGTGTGAGATTATCTAAGAATGGGCCATCTCTTTCCCATTTGCTATTTGCGGACGATGCTTTATTATTTTGTAAGGCTGGGGTTGATCAAGCAAACTCTCTTATGTAGATTCTGGAAAAATATAAATTGTTTTCAGATCAACGAGTTAATCTTCAGAAGTCTGCCATCTTCTTTAGCAGGAACTCACATAAGTACTTGCAATTTGCCATCTGCAATGCACTTCAAGGTATTATTTCTCACAGGTCAACAACATACCCCGGCTTACCACTGGGCATAAGCAGGAACAAAAGAGAAGTGTTTGATTATCTCCTTCAATCAATCAGAGGAAAGCTGACCAGCTGGAAGTCTAAAATTCTCTCAACAGCTGGTTAAGAAGTACTTATTAAAGCAGTTCTTCAATCACTTCCTGTTTTCACCATGTCATGTTTCGAATTACCACTAACCCGATGCAAATAAATTTCCAAGCTTTGTGCACATTTTTGGTGGAGTAAAAATGAAAATCAGGAATCTGAAATGCACTGGAAAAAATGGAACTTGCTCTCTCTACCAAAAACCAAAGGAGGGCTGGGATTTCATGATATCAATCTCTTCAACCAAGCCCTCATTTGCAAAAAATTATGGAGAATTGCCACCAACCCGGATCTGTTGGTAAGCAAAATACTGAAAGATTGGTACTTTCCAAACTGTTCAATCTCAGATGCTGTCAAAACTCAAAAAGGATCGTGGATGTAGAATAGTTGGTTGGATATGATGCATTTCTTTTCAAATGGCTAAAGACTGAGATAAGAAATGGAGCCAGTACCCAAATTTGTGATTTGAATTGGATACCTAATCACTCAAAACCCAAACCCCATATTTTGGAAATTACCAGGGATCATTTAATTTGGGTCAAGGATTTGATTTTGGAGAATGGTTTGGAATGGAATGAATGGCTTGTCAAACATGTTTTTGATGATACAGATAGCACAACAATTCTTAAAATCAACTCCCTGAAGTCTGATGCTGCTGATAGACATTATTGGGGACTGGACAGAAAAGGCCATTTTTCAGTAGCTTGTACCTACAAACATCTCTCTCAGCAAAAGCTCATCAGCCTGGATATCCCATGCAGCAGTTCCAATGCCATCACCCAGCAATCCACTCTGTTCAGAACTTGGCATCTAAAGGTGGCTGGGAAACTCAAACATTTCCTTTGGAAATGTATTTCTGACACTCTACCAGTTGTTGTAAACCTAAGGAAAAGAGGCCTAGATGTTGATGTTATCTGCAGACAATGTGGTGAATATCCTGAAACCGTTGAGCATATGTTACTATCTTGTTCTAAGACCAGCAGACTATGGAAATTAGCACCTCTCCAATGGGATGGCATCAACAAATCTCATTCCTTCAAAATCTGGTGGCAACAAATATGCTCCATAAACCACATAGAAGTAGCAGAGGCAAGAATCCAGTTGTCCACCTACCTACTTTGGTGGCTCTGGAAATCTCGAAACCTCTGGGCTTTTCAAGCTCAAAACCTTCCAGTTCATGTGCTGATTTCTGTTGCTCACAGGGACTGGCTTGCTTTCTCTTCTCCTTAGTTCCTTTTTTTTTTTTTCCCTTAATAGTACTATTTTTGAGAAACTAATAGCCCAGCTAGGCCGTTTGGCAGTGGGTGGGTTGCTAGTTTCTTCTTATAATTTTGCTTATCCCTTTGATTTGAGGCTCTAGACCACTCTCATGCGTGTCTCTCAGTTTGTATTTCTGGCTATTAGGGGGTTACTCTATGTATTTGTACATTTATCTCTTTTGAGTTATATATAGAAACCTCTGTCGTTTTGAAAAAAAAAATAATTAATCAATATTTACCGGATTTTTTAAAATATAATTAATATAATATTTTAACTAATTAATCTTTTGTCAAACCGGATTTATCTCATTAAAAAACTTGCCAAAATTTTTTAAATTACAATAGTAAGATTATTCTTACGGGTATACTTATCAGAATATTAAATACTTAAAAAAATTTTGAAAACAAACTTGAATTATTCCACCCTTTACTCTATTTGAAATTCAAAGTTAAAATTTTAAATATATTAATAAATGTTATTATTTATTTTTTCCTTATGTGATATAATGTAAATTTGGTTACTAGATTTTTAAATTCAAACATTTAAAAGAAAAGATCACGAACATATTATCTTTTGTTACATTTCATTTATCTTAACTTTCATATAACCACATTCCTAACAAACTAATTAATATTATATTTTTTCTCCGCATTTATATAACCCGATTTCTTAAAATATAATTAATATAATATTTTAACTAATTAATCAATTATATCACTTGATTTATCTCATTAACAAACTTGCCAAAGTTTTTGAAATTAAAAAAATTTGGACGATTTTGATTTGTAAAAAAAAAATAGCTTTACTTTAAAGTATGGATTCTTTCTATTATTTTTTGTACACTAACAATCATATATTGGATAATGTATTTAGATAAAAAAAATCAAAACCGTAAAGTTTAATAATATTCCTTAAATAAAAAATATTGTGTAAAGAGAAGTGTTTAATAATATATGTTTTTCATTGTATTTATTTTATTTCTAGAATGAGATGAGATGTGAAAAATATAAAGAATTATATTTAAATTAAAGTCTAAAAAAAGGTTTAAAATATGAACTCGCATCGTACGAGATATACACTAGTTAAAGATAGTACGGTTGAGTTAAAGTTGAGTTAGATTTTGAGTATGAAATAAAGTTGAGTAAATTATTTCATAGAAAATCAAGCCCTTACTCATTTACTAGTACAGAGCACGTGCGATGCATGGAGTGCATAATTTTAAGGCTATTTATCCAGGCTTATAATTATATACATGAATACAGAAAAATGTACGGGATATTATAGTACGTGACCCGTGCGAGGCACGGGATATATTTATTTGGGGAATATTATATTATAAGATGCAATATTCAATAAAAGGTTTATAATACGCAGGAAAATTGTACAATAAGATAGTATTCGACAAAGAAACAATCATATATTATTAAAGACCTTCTTATACACAACATAATGAGTTTGATTTTCCATACAATAATAATAAGATTTTTTGTAAAAAAATAAGAAGGAATTTTCAATCTACACAAACTTTAAACATTAGATGTATTTACGTAAATCAATAACTATATAAACAACTAAACCCTTCAATTTAGGATTGACATCTGCTTTATTTATGGGTGACGTAAAATAAAGATTTAATTTTGACCGGTTAAATCTTTATTTATATGCTTGACATATAAAACTGATTTGATGATACTTTTTTTAACTAAACCAATGTTGTGAGATAAAACAAATTAATACTTACCTTTGACTTTTCCAGCAAAGGTAAAAAAATCGATTCTGATTGTTAACCCATAACAAATCTTTAATGTCAAGCCTATAAATACCAAAATAAATATATAATTAATGTCATTCTATTTCCAGCAAGCATTAATTATCTTTGACTTTTCTGTCTACTATTTTTAGTAAATAGGATGACTTTTTATATAAGTATAGATATGTAAATGTCCAATATGTCTTGAAGTTTTATAATCAAAATCCTCTCTATATATAATTTCAGAATGCGTTGAGCTTACGTGGCAAACTCTCATGCTTCGGAATCCTTTTTGGCAAAAAATCATGCTTTGGAGTTAGACTTGTATATAAATTAATATTTGTATTAATTGTATTTTAATATCATTTCCTATTATAACCAATGAATTGCAAATATATTTTAAAAGTTGATTACTTTTATATTTCTTATCTGTTTTACAGATATAATATATCAAACTAATCATCTTTTGATGAGCTTCAGTTTGACATCCATATTGTATATATAAAATAAATAAATTATATTTATTAAAATTAATTAGAAAATAAAATTATTTATCAATTAATATATTTATGTTTAATGTAGTTATATGTTACAAGGTAGAAAATTTATTATAATATAACACATATAAGTCGCACAAGTAACATGTATCATACTAAAATATATAATATAAACCCCCTCCTATTTTTATTATTTGTTACTTTGGCTTACAAATAAAACTATAAATTATATTATAAAGTAATAGAAATTAGTATATATTCTTTTAAAAAAGATATTTATTTCAAATCTAATTGGTATGTTGTCAATGTAATAAAAATAAATAATTATTATATTAAATAATTGTGAAGCACAACTGATACGACACTTGATGTATTAGACATCTAATTAAGTTAAAAAATTAATCTATTTTGTTTAATATTAAATAAACATATTATACGCTTATGCATATATATATATTACCATATTATATTTATTTAATTAAGATATATATTTTACTTATATAGTAGTGAATAATATCGATATTTTTATATGATATAAGTAAAAAAATTAAACTCGGGTTGACATTTTTATGTAATGTACGAGTATTTAATTATTATGATTAAAAAATATAATTTGACAGATTAATTAAAACCCAAAGTAATGATTTATATAAAATTAAATTATTTTAGTTTTTAAATATAAAAAATTTAATAATTTTTAAAAAGTTTTCTAATTCAACACCCGTGTAATATACGGGTATTGTACTACTATTTATTTATTCACAAATATAAAAAGCGAATAATAAGAATTCTTAAAGTGTAGAGATTGCTTTCTTATATTAAAGCATAGATTAATGGAGTGCTTTCTAATTAATAATTGCACTGATTAAATCCTTCATGATTTTATAAACACAGGGGTTTCGCACATTTTCACTGGAGCAATTTAGATGAATTTCTGTCCCTAAAATAGCTGGTAGGAAGCGTGAGAAGGCTCAGCTCGTTCGGAAAATCCTCAAGAAAATGAACAGGTAAGGAATTTTTTGATTGGACCTTTTTGTTAGGCACCTGCGTTTTGTCTGACCATTTTCTCAACTCGTGTTTCCAGTCGTGATGGAGACTGAAATTTTGAGGATGTATTCTTGTGTTTGATATTTTCGCACAATTTATTGCTGCAGAGTTACAGTTTAACAGCTTTCTGTTTTGATTTTCTACGATGCCATTATGTATCTAAATAATGGCTATAGAAAGGGAACTCCTTTGATTCCTGCATGTACTTTGGATTGACTTGGGTCTAGATAAATACCTCAAAATTCAATAATTGTAATCCGCACATAAGATGTGTATTAGTATCTGACGTTGTTTTTCGTTTTCTATTTGAGGTACATATTATTCTGGTGACGTTGTTTTTCGTTTTCTATTTGAGGTACATATTATTATGGTGTTGGTGGGGGAATTGGTTGTTTGTAATATCCTCATCAGTGCACAGAGGTAACATTCTTATAAAATTGGAGCCTTGTTAACGGTTTGTCTTCGCCACTTTACAAGGATAACTGCAAGAAGAGTGATAGTCAACATTCCTGCCTTGAAATGGGCACAAAAAACGCTATGTAGTGGTACAAGTGCCAAGTTACCTGGTACCAATGGCAATCCAGTTATTAGGGTAATAATTTATTTTATTAGACTTAGAGCCTTTTCATGAGCTAGTAGATAGTGCTCGATAATTTTCGTTGGTTGAAGTGTATATATTAGAACATTTTACAGCTGTGTACCTCTACACTCTGTACCTACACTGTGATTCATTTTCATGCGAATGTTTTAGTTTTGATTCATTTGAATGTAACAAGACATCTTCTCCTTTTATATGTTATGTCTTTACTTGACAGAAGCTATGGGCGTGTGGCATTCTTGATTTAATTGTTGTGTGTCTGTTATTTTTCTCTTACATGTAATGAAAATACTCATGCCTATTATGTTAGAGTCGATTTGGAGAAGGGACATGCTTCATTGCCCGAATGGTTAACAAAAAGGGTAGCATAAAATACACATGGCAACATGACAAGCATCCACTACTTTACATATCATATAATTATAAAAAAATAAAATCAACAACCTTAATCTTGCCAACACATAATTCTGTGAACCGGTTGGTAAATTATGCTGGCAAAATAAACTAATTCTTAGTAGAAAATATTGTCATGGAGTGGCCATTCTAGTAATTAAATAGGAACACTTTTGAGTACCTATTTTCTTGATGCTTGGTAGAGATTACACATGTTTTATTTGGTGTTCAGAAAAGAAGCTGTTGCATGTTTGTTGCAGAGATTAATTTAAACATGTCACAAGGGAGAATAAGTTAGAAAAAACACTTTTGAAGAGTAATAGCATTAATTGGACAATATGTTGATCAAGGAAAATCAACGATAGCAGCTCATTTGTACTTGAAACTTTAATGGGGATGGTTCTATTATTTTCATGCATATTATACGGTGTGGATGGGAACCTGGACTTTCACAATCTTGATGTTTGTGTTATTATTTTTCGAGGTGTTCTCTCCATGTAAAGTTTCATTCCAAACTGTTACTGCTTTGCCTAGGATACCGTCGACAAGAACGGATTCAATAATAATCTTCCTGTGCATGATGTGGCGATTGTTGGAGGTGGCATGGTTGGCATGGCTTTAGCTTGTTCTCTGGGTATTGTCATTGTTACTTGACTTTTAAACATTTTTTTAATTATCTTGGCTTCTGAAGGTTCCATACGGCTTGGAACAACATGATTACGATTCCTTTGAATTGATTTTATGGTCGAACTATATAAGTCTTGAATATTTCATAGTAAAAGCTAACTTAGACATATGGCGATCATCATGCTTTTATGTAACTTTTTAAGCGTATGGCTTAATTGGTTTTCTGGTAACCCAACCATGTGCTTGAAGAAAGCTAAAATGGAAAATAAAAATAAAAATGTACATGCATTAGAGAAGAGCCTCAATGATATTAGTTTTTCCTTGTATGTTCCTCATCATCTGAAAGTGATGCAGAAGTGCTTGTATATTTTACAGTTTGCTTTGTTCAAAGAAATGATGATTAAACTATGAGGGTTGACACAACAACATAATTAAGTGGAAACCCGTTTTTGCTTAATTTTCTTAGAGAAAGTTTTTTCTGATTTCATGTGGATATAAATAATTTCAATATGAATGTTATATGCTTGCAGCACACCAGCCATTGACAAGGCAGCTAAATATTGCCATTATTGACAGCAATCCAGCATTACTTAGTGGCAGTTGCATCAAGAAAGAGGATGCTCCGGATCCACGAGTTAGCACAGTTACACCAGCGTCTATATGTTTTTTCAAAGGTATTGCCTTTTACACTGTCGATTTGATATTTTGGGCTTGAATATCACGTTTTAAGGATTTCCATAATACATTCTGGGGCCAAACTTATGGTAGAAGAGGGAAAGAATGGGGAGAAAATTAAGGAGAGGAATGGAATCTGCAGCATGATATATTATAATATATTCTTTATTGTCTATTTGTCTTGACTAAATTAGACGTAATTACCTACTTAGGAATTATTTACTTTTCTATTTTGCAGTATTTTGTTTGGTAAGTAGCTGAGTCTTGTAATGTTCCTCCTTAAAAGGAAGTAAGAAATGTATTGTTGAGGGAAGCAAAGATCTTAATCCAGAGAAGGGTCAGGGAGTTTTAGATTTCAAGAAAACCCAATCATTCTTAACTTTTCATATGTGCCTTTAACTATATTTTTCGTCTTATCAATCGAAGTCAACAACCCGCCTTAACTGCTAAGTTGCAGCAACAATAGTGTTTTGACATGCACTGTAAGTAACGAATAATTTAAAATTTGATATATATCAATTGGTAGTATTGATTTATGTTAGAATATTTATTTATCTTTTTCTTTTGTTAGAATGTTCCTTATATCTCTATATTTGTGTACATATTGTATTCTTTCATGTCTCCCACTGTACATGCTTGATTCTCTCTCCCACCATATGTAAGGAAGTTGTACTGCACATTATACAACAAGAAACCACATTCTCCTACATATTCTTTCTTAGCTGACAATTTGCCCTCCAGCATTCACATTAGCCAATGTTGGACACAAAATCTCTTAGGCATAGTGGGTAGTCATGGGCAATCCATGCTGGCTTGCCCTGCCTTTGCCAAAAGAAAAATCTAAATTCAAGGGAAAGGTCAGTGACAAATAGGTGGAGAATGTTGATTAATGGGCCATGGCAGGTTGAGAAGGGGGATATGTTGCTTCCTTTCTTTTTTCTTTAATTTTTTTTATTAGTCATTTTAAGTTAAATCCCATTGGCGTTTTGAATACTAGTGGATACTGAGAATCAAATTGTCCCTATACGTTATTGCTTATTTGCTTTGTCTTCCGTTATCTACTAATATGTACTGCAGCACGTAAATAAATAATTTCTTGAATGCACTATTTTTTGTGCTCCATTTTTCGTGGTTCTAGGTGTTACTTACGAATACATTGCATAACCAACTATATATTGTGCTAACTGACGTCTTTCCTTAATTACTCAAGTCCATTTGCCGTTTTATGTTTTTTTCAGTAGAGCAAAGTGTTTGTTTTTCTATGGGGCGCAACCTTCTTGTGTCGACCTGAATACTTTGAGGCAATACTTTGAGGCAGAGGGGTAGTCGGGTTGTGGTGTATGCGGTGTAGGTGAAGGAGGAGAAGGCACTTCTGAAGGCGATAAAAAATAGGGAATAGAGTAGAACAAAATGTCATCCTCCGTAAGTGGTTGGGTAGAGTGGGACATTTTTATGAAAAGTAACGTATGTGGATACACTATATCAGTTGTTAACTGGACAAAAGAATCGATTCCCCTTTCCCCTTCTCCTTCTCCTTCTCCTTCTGTACAGAGACTTGGGATCTAGCTTACTTATATGGGGTCGTGTATCCTGAACAAAACATGTTCTGCCAAAAATACGAGATGACATAGGAAAGAGGGATTTTGAGGGAAAAGGAATTTTACCATGAAGCACAACGGAAGGCATGCGATTAAAAAAAAAATGCACGGAAACATTTGCCCAAAAATGCTTGGGGACATTCATTTGAAACAACAAAGCTCGAGCAACCTTGAGGAGGTGCTGATTATCGGGTGGTGTATTACACAAGAAGACTCATGCAAAATAACATGATGAAGCATAAAAGACTGAATATCTTCGGAAAAATATTCGTTTGTATTATCACTTTGCAAAATGTTAACAAAAGTATGAAATTGATTCTTAATCAACAACAACAACATAGCCTTTAGTCCCAAGCAAGTCGGGGTAGGCTACAGATGAAACCCAAGAGAAACACAAAAAAGACTANTAACCGACTCTTCCCAAGTGAGTTTAGGCCGACCTCTACCTCTCTTAACATCCTCGACCCGCTGTAGAACTCCCCTACGCACCGGTGCATCAGGAGGCCTCCGTTGGACATGTCCGAACCACCTCAGCCGATGTTGAACCAATTTCTCCTCAATTGGAGCCACCCCGACCCTATTTCGAATATCCTTATTCCGGATTCTATCCCTTCTTGTGTGCTCGCAGAACCAACGCAACATACGCATCTCTGCTACACTTAGTTGTTGGACATGTTGCCTTTTTGTAGGCCAACATTCAGCACCGTATAGCATCGCCGGGCGAATCGCCGTTCTATAGAACTTACCTTTTAGCCTTTGTGGCACCCTCTTATCACAAAGAACGCCCGACGCCTGACGCCATTTCAACCAACCGGCTGCAATTCTATGCTTAACATCAGCATCAATGCCGCCATCCTTTTGTAGCATCGACCCCAAATACCAGAAAGTCTCCTTCTTGGCCACCACTTGCCCGTCAAGGATAACATCACCATCATCATGTAAAGCCATGCTGAAAGCGCACGTCATGTACTCGGTCTTCGTCCTACTAAGTCTGAAGCCTTTCGACTCTAACGCGTCCTTCCACAGCTCCAACTTCCTATTTACCCCTTCCCTACTCTCGTCAACTAGCACCACATCATCAGCAAAGAGCATACACAAAGGGATATCATCTTGTATGTCCCTTGTGGCCTCGTCCATCACCAAAGCAAATAAATAAGGGCTCAATGCTGACCCCTGGTGTAGTCCTATTTTAATTGGGAAGTCGCTGGTGTCGCCCCCACATGTTCAGACACACGTCATCGCATCCTTGTACATATCCTTCATATCCTTGATGAGGGTAATGCACTTAGATGGGACTTTGTGCTTTTCTAAGGCCCACCACATGGCATTTCTCGGTACTCTGTCATAAGCCTTCTCAAGGTCGATAAAGACCATGTGCAAGTCCTTCGTTTGGTCCCTATATCTCTTCGTCAACTATCGTATTAGGAAAATCACCTCCATGGTCGACCTACCAGGCATAAACCCAAATTGGTTTTGGGTCACACTCGTCACTCGTCGTAGGCGATGCTCGATAACTCTCTCCCAGAGCTTCATCGTATGGCTCATCAACTTAATCCCACGGTAGTTACCACAGCTTTGAACATCTCCCTTGTTCTTGAAGATCGGTACTAAAGTATTTCTCCTCCATTCATCAGGCATCTTGTTTGACCGGAAAATGAGGTTAAAAAGTTTAGTTAGCCATACTAACGCTCTGGCGCCCAAGCATCTCTACACCTCAATGGGGATACCATCAGGGCCCATAGATTTACCTCCCTTCATCCTCTTCATAGCCTCTCCGATCTCTGCCTCCCGAATTCTCCTCACCACTCGTCTATTGGTATCCTCAAATGAGTCATCCAACTCCAGGGTAGGACCCTCACTCTCCCCATTCAACAATTTGTCGAAGTACTCTCGCCATCTGTCCTTGATCTCCCCATCCTTCACCAGTGGCCGATCCGACCTCCTTAATGCATTTGATTTGGTTGATGTCCCTTGTCTTCCTCTCCCGAATCTTAGCCATCCTATAAATGTCCTTCTCCCCCTCCTTCGTGCCTAGGCGCTGATAAAGGTCATCATAGGCCTGACCCTTCGCTACACTCATGGCACGCTTTGCAGCCTTTCTCGCTATTTTATAGCTCTCAATGTTGGTTGCACTCTTGTCAAGGTGGAGGCGCTTGAAACACTCCTTCTTCTCCTGAATAGCCCTTTGCACCTCGTCGTTCCACCACCAAGTGTCCTTCGCTTCCTGCTTGCCTCCCCTGATCACACCAAGTACTTCTGCAGCCACCTTCCGTACACATGTTGCCATCTTTAGCCACATGTCATCTGCATCTTCTCCTTCTTCCCAAGGCCCCTCACCTAGCATCCTATCCCTAAACCTCTGTGCCGCTTCCCCTTTAAGCTTCCACCACTTCGTTCTCACGGTCTTGACACATTTGTCCCGGTGAACACGTGTTCGGAATCGAAAATCCGCCACCACCAGCTTATGCTGGGGACAACACACTCCCCAGGTATCACCTTGCAATCTACGCAAGCACTTCTATCCTACCTCCTTGCAAGGATAAAGTCGATCTGACTTGAGTGTCGTCCACTATGGAAGGTCACCAGGTGAGATTCACTCTTCCTAAAGAGGGTGTTCGCTATCAACAAGTCGTAGGCCATCGCAAAGTCCAACACACCCTCCCCCTCTTCGTCCCTACTACCATACCCAAACCCTCCGTGCACTCTCTCGAAACCTACCTTAGTCGCACCCACATGGCCGTTTAGGTCCCCTCCTACAAAGAGCTTCTCGCTGGCAGGCGCCGTACTAACCAAAGCATCCAGGTCCTCCCAGAATTGCCTCTTTGCACTCTCACTAAGACCTACTTGAGGGGCATAGGCATTGATTACATTCATGGCCAAATCTCCAACTACCAATCGGACTAGGATAATCCGGTCGCCTTGCCTTATAACATCGACAACTCCATCCTTAATGCTCCTATCGATCAAGATGCCTACACCATTCCTACTCGATGAAGCCCCAGTGAACAAAAGCTTGAAGCCAGTATCCTCCACCTCCTTCGCCTTCTGTCCCTTCCATTTTGTCTCTTGGACGCATAGGATATTTACACGCCTCCTAGTAGCTGCATCGGCTAGCTCACGTAGTTTACCCGTTAGGGACCCTACGTTCCAGCTACCTATACGGACCCTAGTTGGTTCGACTAGCTTCCTTGCCCTTCGCACCCGTCGAGAGAGATGCGAAGACCCTTGCTCATTTTCCACTACATCCGGGCGCCGATGTAGCGCGCCACTAAGGAAATGACGACCCGGTCCTTGTTCACTTAACACCATGCCCAAACCATGACATGGCGCGTTCCCAAGGGGGAGACGACCCGGCCCTTGCCCATTTGACACCATACCCGGGTTCCGATATGGCGCGTCGCTAAGAGGGTTACGCCCCAACGAATTTCTCATGTGTTTCATCTCCATAAAACGGCTAGATTTTACGTTGGCTCGCCAAGCCTATCACAACCCTCCTCCTTTACCAGAGCTTGGGACCTGCTATGTTGAGACAACATAGGCAGAGTTAAATTGATTCTTAATCAATGTTGAAAAACTTCGGAGATATTTTTCATGAGATAAAGATAAGTAACACGAGAGTAATCATCAATAAAAGTATCAATATAAGTAACAAAGTATTTGAAACCAGTTTTAGACACAATTGGACAAGGACCCACACATCAGAATGAACTATCTCCTCAAATGGGACGCAACCCTTTTATTAATCCTAGGACTTAGATGAACACGTGAGTGTTTGGCAAACTGGCATGAATCACAATAAGATAAAGAGGTGAATTGTGGGTACATCTTTCCGATACTGAAGTGAAGGATGGCCAACCGAAAATGCATTTCTAATGGTGAGGCACAAACAAGAGAGCGCGGCCCGAAGTCTCAAGCCCATAGAGCCCATCAGATTCGTGACCTATCTGCTTTGTCGAAAGGTCTTGAAAAATGAAATGATTTAGAAAAAATGAGATGCTACAGCTCAAAGATTTTTGAAGTTTGTTGACAGAAAGTAAGTTAAATGAGAAAATTGGAAGACTTAATACTGTGTGCTAGGCAATGTTTTGGTTTATGTGAGTGGACCCATCAGCTATAGTGACATGAGTAGAGGGTGTACGAGTCTGAAAGGTGGAAAAGAGGCTTTGCTTACGTGTCATGTGATTGGACGCACCAGAGTCAATTACCCATTTTGTTCCCTTAGAGAAGAGACGTGTGGCAGACTTGCCAGTATCAGTAGATGCAGCCGTAGGTGTTGGTGGTTTCACAATCTCGGTTAACCGTCTCAGAAGACAAAGCAACATGAGCAAAATGGCCTGTCTGATTTTTCTCTATCAGCTTCGGACAAGTGTGCTTAGTATGCCCATGTTCATAGCATCCCATACTTTATTACAAAGCCGCCACCTCGAGAACCTCTGCGAAATCCACCACGAAAATTACCTCCACGACTCACAAGTGGACTGGCAGTGGAGGAGCGGCTAGCGGTGCCTAAATCCTCTCCGTGCGAAGTGTGCAGTGCCTCTTGTAAAGAAGTTATGGTAGACTCGGACCTAAGTTGAGTCTTGAAAGCATCGAATTCTGGATGAAGCTCAGTAAAAAAACTGATCACAACAATATGTTCCCGTTGTCATTGCATCTGTTTGACATTCGCGCTCAATGGAAGGAGTTAATTGAGTTCTTCATAAACATAAACTCTGTTGAACTCTATAATGTAGGTCTCCATAATGTAGGTCGTTGAAGTTTTATCCCGTTGTTCACCCCTATGGAAGTAGGACATACAATCGAGTAATCGAGTAAATGTTGGAGATGTTACTACAAACAGAGTACAAGACAGTCAAGTAAGACATTAATTCCTTGACCAATTAACAATGATTGATTAATGAGAGGATTTCCGACTCAATACAATTTTGAATGTGGACCAATAGCTTTGCATCATCCTGGAGGCCTGATTGGTGTCATCCGTGGGAGGATCCAAATCAAGGTGGTCGTCCTTGTCAGTGCTTCACAAATGGATCACAACAGTTGTACTCCAACCAAGAAAATTAGAGCCATTATGCTTAACATCATTAATTTTGTTCAAAATAGGAACAATTTCAGAAACAACCTAAAGTCTGCGCCATGAAATATATCAGCCAAAAATGCTCGCAAACGGAAAATACCAAAATAGACAAAACCAAAGCAAATATTATCAATTTTATGTTATCTTTCCGACCAACTGGACATCGGCAGGACAAGCGGAAGCAGACCCTGAAACTTTGCCGGATCCGAATGGGAGGAGAGACTTGAAATGAAACCCTAGTTGAATTGAACGAGGGTCAGTTGCTTGAAGAAAAAAATTCAACGAGGGTCTGTTTATGAGATTAAAATTTGTATCTTCATAATGATCCAAAGAATATAAATAGCCCTATTTATATACACAACTAGGAGAATAATCAGCCTAATCAAATCCCTTAATTTTAGATAGTATATAGAGAGGACTATTTTATATTTACACAATATACACTGACATCTACGTTATATGCTTTTCTAGTTGATTCCCTGTACAGTCTGCGAAATGGTATAGAGACATGAAGGATTCAATTTCGATGAGATTAGTAAGTGCACACGAGCACTGGTTACAAATTCTTCCATGACTTCAACAATTTGGAACATTGTACTATAGCATTCAATAAATTAGTTCTGGGTGCAACTGACCTCCTCCATAAACACTACTTATCATAATATTGGGAACTATATGTTGTTTAATGTTATCTATTTTTGTCCCCCATTATATAATAAGTCAATACCCCTTGAACATTCTCAATGCTGCCAACACTGAGTTGATCTTTTAATTGCTTTCTGGTAATATGATGCCTGCTGACTCCTGCAACTTTAATTCAAGATTGAGAGAAGGATAATGTTTTTTCTCCACCAGATTCTGAAAACATGATATACGTGTTTTTACTCCAGAACAATTGTTTCAGTGATCTTACTTACATTAAGGTGGAGCTACATTACTTGTTAACATGAGTAAGAGAACTCTTCTTTTGACATAATAATTATTCCTTTCAGATATTGGTGCATGGAAATATGTTGAACAGAATCGACATGCTTACTTTGACAAGATGCAGGTAATATATTGAAAATCTGTGTGTTGTGCTTATAATTGATTTGATATAACTTCTGTATGAAAATTGCTTTAACATCTGTTCTGGTTCTTTGTACTTTTGACTTTCGCTCGTAACCCAGATTTTTTCAAAAGGAAGACAAAATGAATAGTTAGATTGTACATGTGTACAATTATAAGATGTCTTACGATCTAACTTTCATTTGCTACTTCTACTTCTGGTCTGACAGAGTGAAGTCGTGTTCTTGCAGCGGAGAACTAGTTCTTGTGATTTCAAATTGATTTTGATTTTTTTGTGTCATATCTTAATAAACTTGGTCCAGATGGTTATTCCCTGAAGTTTCTTCGCCCCAACTTGACTCAATAAAATGTACTTGGAATATTTATGCTGTAGCCATATAATATTCATCTGTTACTACCTATAATTGTTTGGGTGCTACTGAGATAGGCAAAACAATATTGTCATGTGGAACCAAATAGGGTTAGTGAGAAAACAATAAATCTTCTCTTAGTAGGTTATTATAATAAGATAGGGAGCAGTCAGATGTGAGTGAAGATGCTTCTTCCTGCTTTCTTGTACTTAAAACTCATAATCAAATTAGGCAACTTTTTCATATGCCATGGTAGATTAGTTAGAATTTTTATCTGCATGGATAAACTATGTTTCGTCCACCTTCCAAGAGTGTGAAGAATTTCCTCTATGCCTTGCATCTTTTATCCCATATTTTGCTTCATTTCTTTGGTCTTCTCATGAAGTTTCCCTTTATCTTTTATCTTCTTTCTATTTTCTCCTTCCTTCTGGTAGTCTTGAAGTTCTGAAATTTCTTTATTATAACGGGAAACAAATGTTGAGTAACACTGTCCTATACATGCTGCTAATATTGTAAACAAGTCCTCAATTTTATTATAAGTATTTGAATCTGAATCTTTTTCGATTAATTTTCTAGGTTTGGGATTACTCTGGTCTTGGGTATACAAGGTACAGTGCGAGAGACATTAACAAAGAAGTATTAGGGTAAGAGCAGATGCTGCAGCATTTCTATTATTCATAATGTTACAGTTCTTTTTTGCAGATAATACTTGTTTGGGATTTTATTATAGGTGTGTGGTGGAGAACAAAGTGCTTCATCAATCTCTGTTATCAAGCCTACAGGTACTATTTGCTCGAAAATGTCGACATTACATTTCTAGAAAAAAAAGCTAAGATTTGCCAATGTTGAACTAATTGTTTTACCACCATTTGGGGGGTTACAAATCTTATAGAGTAGATCATATTTGTTATACGTAATTGATCTCTAATTGTTTTGTTTGCTTAGTTTGATCAAGTTATATAAGACTGGGAACTGAGGGCTAGAAGGAAGTGTGTGGACTGGCATTTTGTTTTTGGAACCTAGTTTTTATTCAATTAAGTCGTAAGGTTGAATCTCTTAGAAGGAATGAAAACCATTAGAAGAGACGTTGATTTCAAATTAAAAAGTTATTAGCATATTTAGAGTTTTGTAGAACCAACGGCGCATATATAGTAGACTTTTCAGTTTTCCCACAAAATCTAGGTGTAAATAATGTTTATAAAATACTACAATATTTTACCTCGAGCTTGTAGCTCAAGTGGTGCTAGCTCATTGTACTGGTTAATACAAGGTTCAATCATTATACCTCTCAATTTTTTCGATATTTAGCTTCCCTCCTCGTAAATACGGGTGAGCATGAGAACCAAATCGAAAATAGGAGATCACCATGATCAAATCAACGAAACCATCCCACGAATTGGCATGTTCAGTTTGGAGACTTTATTTTTCAAATCTATTCTATTCGATTTGGAGATTTGGGAGGATCGGGACGGTTGGGATATTCAGATGGGAGATATGAAGATTTCTAATTATCAGCATAAAATAAAAAAAGTAAAATTATCAATATGTAGTTGTATTGGAATACGAATATGTTTTTGTAACTTCCTAAAAGAGTTTATGGTGTGAATTTCTGAATGCATTTCTATTGAACCTGAAAACCCTTTAAATAGGGAATGAAACAACATAATAAAAGGAAACAATATATACACCAAATCAATCACAATAAATAATAATCACAGAAAATCAGCCAAGTATCTCAGCTGATTATATGCATTGCTAAGACACCCCCTCAGTTTGAGCGGGCGGTGGACAGACGCTCAAGCTGGAACGAAATGACTGGAATAGCTGTCGAGAGAGCCCCTTGGTGAAAATATCCGCATATTGCAATGAAGAAGGCACATGAAGCACGCGAATGTGTCCTACACGAACTTTCTCACGAACAAAATGTATGTCAATCTCGATGTGTTTCGTCCTTTGATGCTGAACTGGATTATTGGAAAGATATACTGCTGAGATGTTGTCACAGTACACAACTGAAGCATGAGTAAGAGGCGTGTGCAACTCAAGAAGTAAATTGCGCAGCCATGTGGCTTCAGCTACCGCATTGGCAACACCCCTGTATTCGGCTTCAGCGCTGGATCGTGAGACAGTAGGCTGCCGCTTGGAGGACCAGGAGATCAGATTGTCACCGAGGAAAACACAATATCCCGAAGTCGAGCGACGGGAGTCCGGGCAACCACCCCAGTCAGCATCAGAATAAGCCACCAATGAATGAGATGCGGATTTGATGATACGTATACCATAGTGAATCGTCCCTTGAATGTAACGGATGATCCTCTTCATGAAGGCAAAGTGAGAATCTCGAGGCTCATGCATAAACAAGCAGATCTGCTGAACCGCATATGATATGTCAGGTCTCGTAAAAGTAAGGTACTGTAAAGCCCCGGCAAGACTGCGATATAAAGTAGGATCCGAGAACAGTGGGCTATCTGCACTGCCCATTTTGGGCGAGAGGTCTACTGGAGTCGTGCACGGCTTACATGAAGACATGTTGGCCCTAGCAATTATGTCCTGTGCGTATTGAGCCTGTGAAAGAAAAATACCATGGGAATGTGGGGAGACTTTGATGCCCAAGAAGTGATGTAAGCGGCCCAGATCAGTCATAGCAAACTCTCGTGACAGTGGCAATTATTTCACGCAAAAGCTTGTCATTAGACGCAGTGAGAATTATGTCATCAACGTATAATAGCAAATAAGCAGTGTTGGACGAACCCTGATTATAAATGAATAAAGAGTTGTCGCAAGCACTGCTACGAAACCCATGAGTGGTGATATAATTAGCAAAGCGGGTGTACCAGGCCCGTGGTGCTTGCTTGAGCCCGTAAAGAGACTTTTTGAGACGACATACCAGGTTGGGTGCCCGTTGATCATAGAAACCGGGAGGTTGGTGCATGAAAACGGTTTCTTTGAGATCCCCATGTAAGAATGCATTTTTTACGTCCAATTGGTGGATAGGCCATGATCGTGAGACTGCGAGTGATAGCACTGTCCGAATGGTAGCCGGTTTGACAACCGGACTGAACGTGTCCGCGCAGTCAATGCCCACTGTCTGTGAATTTCCATTTACAACTAACCTGGCCTTATAACGTTCAAGTGATCCATCAGCCTTAAACTTATGACGAAACAGCCACATCCGCAGGTCGAGGCACTAGTACCCACGTTTCATTGTCCTGTAGAGCAGTAAATTCGGCTTGCATAGCATTCAACCAATTAGGATCAGATAAGGCTTTGGCATAAGTAGTAGGGATGGGTGAGATATTGGTGGCTGAAAAAGCCGATTGGGTAGTGGACCGAGTTTTGGAGCGTGTGGTCATGGGATGGGAGTTGGTTGGTAGAGGTAGGCCGGTTGATGTAGAGTGGGCTGGTAGGTTGTGGACGGTCGATGGGGCTGCTGAAGGGTGGTCGGTGTGTGGTGCTGCTGATGGGTTTGGGCCGGGTGTGTTTTGTGGTCTGGGACGGCGGCTATATGTGAAGGGATATGGAGTGGTAATGGAAGATTTGCTTGTGGGTTGCTGAAAGATAAAACCTGGAGGAATGGTTTCGTCTAAAAAATTATAGGCGGTGGGGTTATGAGGAATAGTGTAGGGGAACACATGTTCGTCAAAGGTTACGTGGCGAGATATGTGTACTCTGCCTGTTGTTGGGTCAAAACATCTATACCCACGAAAGTCTGGTGGATACCCGAGAAAAATACATCGGATGGAACGGGCATGTAATTTGTGGAGTTGGATGGCAGAGGTATTAGGATAACAAGCACACCCGAACACCCGAAGGTGGGTGTATTCAGGATGCCGTAGGTAGAGGGCAAAAGTGGGAGTGTAAAAATTGAGACGTTTGGTGGGTAAAATGTTGTGCAGGTAAACGGCCGTGTGTAAGGCTTCTACCCAAAACGAGGGAGGGAGGTTGGCGTGTATGAGCAGAGCACGAACGATGTCGTTTAGGCGACGAATCATTCGTTCTGCCCGGCCATTTTGGCTGAAGGTTTGTGGGCAAGCAAACCGGAACAGAAGTCCTTGTTGGTCTGCAAAGGCTTTGAAGGCTGAATTATCAAATTCAGCCCCGAGGTCACATTGAAAAGTTTTAATTTTTCGGTGAAATTGAGTTTCAATTAAACGGTGAAATTTGGCAAAAGTGTGAAACGTGTCAGACTTATATTTGAGAGGATACACCCACACGAAGTGGGAAAAATTATCAATAAGAACCATATAGTATTTGAATCCTGTTTTACTCGTGATAGGAGAAGTCCATAAGTCACAATGGATGATATCAAAGGGTGCAAAAGTAAAAGTATTAGAAGCATGAAAGGGCAAACGTTTACTATTTGAAATTTGACAAGAAATCTTATTACTTTGAAAATTGAAAGTACGACTTAAAATATCCAAAACTTGAGCCCCTGGGTGACCTAAACGATCATGCCAGGGGTGACTGGTGGTAGCAAGGAAAGTGGCTTGAGGAGGTAGGTGCGGCTGAGTGAACGGATAAAGGTCTCCGGTGCTGTTGTGTCGGGACAACAACCTCCTAGTTTTGAGATCCTTCAATGAAAAACCAAACGGGTCAAATTCAACAGAGACTTGATTATCACGAGTAAAACGTCTGACAGAAATAAGGTTTTTAATAACTTGTGGGCTGTAAAGGACATTGGGAAGGACATAGGTTCGGTTTGGTAGGTGATGAAAACCCGTACCTGATCCATGTATTGGTAAAAAATTGCCATTGCCCACCAATAATTTACTACAAACAGGATTAGAATGTGGTATTAGTATCTTACCCTGCTCATGAGTTACATGAGATTCTGCCCCGGTATCTATGAGGTCCGAAGCCCACGAGGAAGACGGCTGATTCATTTGCATGTTACTGAATGCTGCGCTGAGATCTGAAGGGCTCAGTGCATTGTATACGCCTTGTGGTGAAGGGCTGTACCCGATGAACGGCTGCTGCGGAAATCCAGAAAAATGTGCCTGAGGTTGGGCGACCGGCTGCTGATTTGGGCTGCTGTTTGGATGCCATTGTTGCCGCTGTTGAGTCGGATAGGGGCACGGTGGAGGTGTCCACCAGGCCCAGTTAGGGAACCCGCTCTGTTGAGAATATCCGGATTGCTGTTGTTGCTGTTGGCCGGACCAGGTAGGCTGCCGGTTGTTGCTGTTGCGTCCCCTACCACCGCGGCGGTTCCAGGACCCACGGCCCCGGCCCCGGCCACGAGAGGAAGAGAAACTGTTGTCGGACGACGGAACCAGCTGGTTGTTTGGAGGGGTTTTTGGAGCAGCGGTTGCGGCCAAAACAGTGGAATGAGAACCTTTTTGGGCGTCTAAGCGGAGGACTTCATCATTCAGCATACTGACGGCTTGGTCCCAATCAACACCATTCTGATTGATGAGGGCAGCAGTAGTATTGTATTCAGTTGGCAAACCCCTGACCAGTTGAAGAACAAGACGGGACTCGGATACAGGGTTATCGACATCGGCCATTTGATTTGCAATATCAGTCAATCGCTGACAATAATCTTCAATGGAGGAACACGCTGACAAAGACATATTGCAGAACTTGGTTTCCAATGATGCAGCACGTGACTTCTTGTTACTGAGATAGATGTTCTCGAGTTTGGACCATGCTGCACGAGCCGTAGTAGTGCTGTCATCCATGACTCGTTTGAGAAGGTCATCAGAGAGAGTGCTGAATATCCATTGAAGGACAAGAGCATCGATTTCATTCCAGGCATCATATTCCGGGGAAGATGATGCCGGAGAAGGAGTACCATCAATATGATCCATCACCTTGTAAGCGACAGCGTGTAATCGAAACAGCCGGGTCCATTGAGAATACGTGACATTGGTGCCGTCTAGGGTTCGAATTTTACTCTGGATATTTGTTACTGGATGTAAGGATTGGGGCTTTGATGGCTGTTCGACAGCATCTTTAGTCATTGTGATGACAGTTTCGGACGTATCCGATCAGAGAAAAGCAAAAAAAAAGGAAAAAAAAAAGGAAGAAGGGCGGCGGAAGGGATGGTGATCAGAATCTCTCTGATACCATAAAAGAGTTTATAGTGTGAATTTCTGAATGCATTTCTATTGAACCTGAAAACCCTTTAAATAGGGAATGATACAACATAATAAAAGGAAACAATATATACACCAAATTAATCACAATAAATAATAATCACAGAAAATCAGCCAAGTATCTCAGCTGATTATATGCATTGCTAAGACTTCCGACTTTTATTTATTAAAGACTTTGCTTTGAAATCAACATTAAACAAATAAGAAAACATATAAATGAATCAGAGTTTTAGTTTGTTAAAATTGTGGTGGAATATAAACTTTTAATAAAATGTATATGATTTTGGATATTAAATTTTCTAATTTCCCATGTCATTTTAACAAGAATATGGAATAAAAGTAAGAAAAGTAAAATAATAATGTTATTAAACTTTTAAAAAATACTATGTGAAGATTAATATATGTGAAGTTTAATTTGCTTTTACTATATGCTATTAAGTATTTTAAAAATATTAAAATAATTTAGGACTAAAGTTGACATAAAATAAAGACTTGACAAATTTAAAGTTTAGTAAGGTTTATAATTTTTGTTCTTCGATTTGGTACTGTATGAGACTTCGAATCTTCTAATTTAAAGTGATTTAAGTTTGGTTTTCTGAACACCAACAATTTGTTCTTCTCCGAATCTCGTTGTTCATCCCTACTTGCAAGTTCCCTATATAAATTAAAAAGAAGATTATGTACGGTGCTATCACATTTTGCCATGATGGCATGGTCTGTATAACCGCGATTAAAAAATATGTGAAGTATATAGCACTACGGCACCATAGGCCGCCATGAATGGCAGCCGGGTATAACAGTCTGCTGCTATTTTCCACCATCCGCTATTAATAACACTGATATAGCATTGCTATTGCTCTGGCATACTACATAGACTTTAACTTTTTCAACCCAAACTTTCTTGTGACCTAAACTTAAGACTATTTATGGAGTTACTCGTAAGTTTGGGATTTTAACATAGTTGAACTTTTGATTGCTCTAGTAAATGTATTGGTGCCACTGTGACTTGAGAACTGAGATGGTGTAAGAATTAGATCGAACGATGTGTGTGCTCACAATGAAAGTGGTTGTCCTACTTGCTTACTTTTTTAAGGTTTTGTGTTTGTTCTACATGACTCTGGTAAGTTACTAGACTCTTGTGATGTATCTTGGCAGACCGTTCATTTGAGCTAGTTTCTTGGGACATGGTTTATCATACCAATTTATTACTCTGTATGTTCCATGTTTTTCGTATCTATGTTCTAAGACAGCCTGTTTCAGGCACCCATCTCACGGTTTCTATATTACTCTTTATATGTTTCTTCATTGCATCCTCGTCAAATTCCTCTTTATTATATCGAATTAGCTTCTTAGCTTGTGATAAATTTCAGAAGAGAATGTAACGTCAAAAAATAGTTGTTGATAAGTGCAAAAAGTTGTTATTAGAAAAGGTAAAGATAGATTTGAGATTGTAAATGGATATAAGATAAAAATGTAATGATTAAAATTGACGTGATACAAAAGTAATGAAATATTGATTGGTAGTGATTTTTAGTTGGAAATATGTGAGTGAGTGAAGTTTTTTTGTTGGAATATATTTAACAATTACTTTTTACTTTTAAGTTGTGTTAGTGAGATTGTTGAGAAGTACGTGAGATGAAATGAATAGGATTTGTTTCNCTCACTTGACCAGCAAAAATGGGGAAAAACAAAAAGAAATTGCATCCAGTCCCCACCCTATGTGATGATAACTTTCAATATTTCCAATGTGCCTTTTGCTGTATTTATTACTCACTTGGGAGATCGGCTTAACTTGAGAATTTAGTTTTCCTTTTGATGGGCGTGATTTGTTTATTTTGTAGAATTTAAATTAAATAGATTAATGTAGAATATTGCTCTGTCCATGGACAATCAGATCAATTGAATTGCAAGAACTTCCCATGTTGTGCTCGTTTGATTATTTTAGTTATATCCTGGAATTGTTTCATTGTCATTCTTGTTGCTTTCGCTTTGCATTCGACTGCCAAATTTCTTTTTCTTATTGTCAATGCCTTTTTTATGTTGGTGGCTGAGGGTCCTCGTACTTTCCAACCACGCATGCCATTGTTTTGCATTGCGAGGTATCCTTTACTGCCTTGAGTGATGGATGCCTAAGAGATAGTTTTTGGTTAGAAGTCTTGAATATTTGTTAAGGTTCCTAGTATCATTCTTAATGTAATAAGTAGATTCTGTTAAATGTCATCATCACTATCATGCTATGGTCTTCTTGACAGGATGCAGCTTTCCTGCAAAAAATATATCCTGACAGATTAAGCTCGATTACCATGCAACCAAGCTCTTCATCAAGTCCTCATGGATCATTAGTTAAGCTGGAACTAAGTGATGGGAATAGCTTGTATGCAAAATTAGTGGTAAACTCTAACATCCAACTTGAGTATTCAAAAAGTCTCTGTCTTGTATCAATAAAACAATTTATTTATTCTTATATATTTTTTTTTGGGCAAATAAATATTTAAAAGTAATCAACAGGTTGGAGCAGATGGATCCAAGTCACGTGTTAAGGAGCTTGCCGCTATAAATTCAACCAGATGGAAATATTCCCAGAATGCAATCATATGTATTGTAGAGCATACTGAGGAAAATCGATGTGCTTGGCAACGTTTTTTGCCTAATGGTCCAATTGCACTTCTCCCAACAGGTGATAAATTCAGCAATATCGTCTGGACAATGAATCCTGAAGAGTCCTCGAACCGTAAGTCAATGTCTGAGTCTGACTTTTTGATGGAAGTAAATCGCGCGCTTGATAATGGCTACAGTCATCACCCGAAATCCCGACTGTCGGGTCCATTCTCTTGGCTAACGGCAGATACAACACCCTCGGCCAGCGAGTGCTTTGTGGTCCCACCGAAAGTGACCAAATTAGCATCTGAGAGAATGGTTTTCCCTTTGTCTCTACATCACGCTAATTCTTATGCATCAAATCGTGTTGTTCTTATCGGTGATGCTGCACATACTGTTCATCCTTTGGCTGGTCAAGGAGTCAACATGGGATTTGGAGACGCACTTTGTCTGTCGAAGGTTATTGCTGAAGGCATTGCTGTTGGATATGATATCGGGGAGGTATGAATTATGATGTTTTTTTTTTTTTTTTTTCNTTTTTTTTTTTTTTTTTTTCATCTATATTTATTCATTTTGTTTTTATATTTTAATATGTGGTTTTGGGGATTGCCTGGAGCATATATCATTTTTTCATTGTTTGATAAACCAAATCTGGGTATATTGATGCATCCTAATTATTGTTAACTGACTAGTGACATTGTTGACTGACAGAATTACATTTGAGTAGTTTTTACTTCTTAGAACTGTATTGACAACTATTTCTTCATTTGCGTACCAAAACAAAATCGTTTGAGACTTGCCTGAGCCCTGAGGGTAATTTGTAAAACAAAGACAATCCAGAAGGTTAAAATTGGATCTCCATTTTTTTGAAATTCAACCCAAGTCTGGGAGGTTATATTTGCAAATCTCCGTGATTTCTTATCCCTTTCTTGTTGAAGCTACCAAAATTTTCCCGAGCACTTAACTTTGCTCTATCTCAGCTCACGCTCCTTAGAAGATACGAGTCAGAAAGGAAACCTGCAAACTTGGCTATGATGGCAATCTTGGATGGCTTTCAGAAGGCTTACTCTGTTGATTTTGGACCGTTTAATGCTCTGCGTGCTGCTGCATTCCAAGGAGCCAATTTCATTTCGCCTTTGAAGAGATACATCATCTCGTATGCTTCGGGTGAGCAGAGATTCCCACTTTTTGCATGACTCATGTGATCGTTGGAATTAATTTTGTTTTCGTTTGTGAATTATATGATTGTTAAGACAGTTCTAAACATAATCGATGGTGCCTGTTAAGTATTTCTTGAATCCTTTGTGTGATTCTCGTGTAGCTAACGTTGTTTTATAAGATTCCTTTTGGGAGCATACCAATTATCTGCTTGTTAACATCTCTGTAGTTGTTGTAACAAAATTGGTTGTGTATCGATTTTACAGTTCCATTTTTCATAAGTGAAAGACTTGGAAGATTCTCAAAATTGTGAATGAGAATTTAATTTCAAGTTGTATATGTGGGAAAATGTAAGGTTGAAACAATTGAATTTAAGTAACTCAAATATTATTGAATTCACAAAACATTGGGGTTTTGACGAATGTTTGTACAAGTTAAATGAGTTATGTTCATGACTTAGGCATGGTATAACTCTAATAGGATTTGTTGGGGACGAGTAGAAATAAACTGGGCATGATTTGGAGTCCGGATGAGCGTGTACGAGCTCACGGCGTACGGGTGCGCAGTTAGCTTCTTCACGGCCCGCGGAGCCAGTTCGCGATCGTGAGCTGTCAGCAGGCCGTGAAGCTTGTCGCCGTGGCTAGCGAAGGCTCACGACCTTTGGTGACCATAAGGGTGTCTTTGGCTTCTAAATGCATCCGTTCTCGTTCGAGCACGTCTTAAAAAGTGTCTTTGACATTTAAACATTTTGGAGATGTTTTCCTACATTTGTAAATACTCACAAACATGAATCATTCAATACATTTGCAATTTAAGAGTTTTTCCATTATATTTTTCAAAGTTTATATAGCATATTGTGTTATTTGATTTTTGTTGAGTCTTGAGAGTTCCAAACAATAATTTTGTTCGTCGAAGATTTGCATATGTGAAGTACCGCTATATGCAAGTCAAAGTCGTATGTTGGAGTCGTTTGTTGTTAACCGTATGTATTTTACGAGTAATTTCGTTTTTAGGAGAATGTAACTATTAGGTGTTGACCTTTTTATTTTTTATTTTTTATTTTTCTATTTTCTTCATTCTCCTTAAGTCATCTTCTTAATATTCACATTCGAAACCAATACTGCAATTGTCACTTATTCAAGTTTTCATTTTCCTCTCTATTTCTCTGGTTTCGTACTTTGTTATTTTTTTACATTGGAATATGTCCTTCCAAGTTAGAGTGGGATTAGTTGCCCATAAAAGATGTCAGACAACTTAAAGCAAAGAATGACTCGCAACTTTAAGCAAAAAGTAAATGTCACAGATACAATATTTCGGTTCAATTTTTGAATGCCTTTATATAACGTCGGCTATGATTCACCGATATAACTTTTGTCCACAAAAAAGTTACGGTTCAATTTTTGAATCCCTTTATGTAACGTGGGCTCTAATTCACCGGTATAACTTTTGCCACCAAAAAATTAATGAACTTTGGATATATATACTAGTACATAGTTCGTGCGATGCCTGAAGTTATAATAAAAAAGGGCGTTACTATTCACCGCCCCCCATTTTACTAGTCACCGCCTCCTTTGAACAATTTTGCCCTTCTCATTTTTTCTAAACATCTCAGAGGAAAGTGTACGGTGAAATGTCGTCAAATTCGGAGGTACGAAAAAATAGGTGTTCGGCCGCCGGTTCTGGACGGCTTTTAGCCCGTCCGGCCGCATTAACCGGACGGTTTTTAAGTCGTCCGGCCGGCCGGTCCGGACGAGCTAAAAGCTGTCCGGAAAGTACGGCCGGTCGGACCGGCCATGTCCGAACCGGCCGGCTGGACGGCTAAAAAGCCGTCCGAACACGACGGCCGGTCGGAACCGGTCTGTCCGGTCCGGCCGGCCGGCCGTATTTTTTTTTTTTTTTAATTTATTATGTTATTTATTCGAAATAGTTATGTTATAAATTGAACTATATTTTTATGTTATAAATTATTATGTTACATTTTAGACTTGATTATGCTATAAATTGGACGTTTATCGTGTTAGGAGTTACAAATTTTTATGTTACATGTTGATTATAATATAAATTGGAAGTTTAGATATTATCGTGTTACAAGTTAGAATTATATTACATATTAGTTTTAGTTATGTTATAAATTGACGTTAGATAGTATCGTGTTAAGAGTTACAAATTATTGTGTTACATGTTTATTATAATATAAATTGGACGTTAGATATTATCGTGATCGTGTTAGGAGTTACAAATTATATTAATTGAACGTTAGATAATATCATGTTACGAGTTACGAATTATTATGTTACATGGTAGAATTAATTATCTTAATTTAACATGTTCTAAAAATATAAATATTGTACTATATAGCAGGAGTCATGGGAAGATTTTGGAGGAGATGGTGTTGATTACAGTCTGCGTTTCGATACATGTACATTATATAGTAGTGCTCAGGAGGCTATTGAAGCTGCAAAACACCAGGCAATGCTGAATGGTTTTCTATTAATTATTTTGAGCCACAAAAAGAAAACGGTCAGACTTTTGAAGTGCTATAGAGGCGAACGGTACAGAGGCACAAGCGAAAATTCTAGAAGGACAAAAACGAATAAGTGCGGCTGCAATTTTGAGATCAAAGTAAAAAAGGTGTCCGGCGCTCCATACTGGAGGATCTGTAGATGTAGCAATGAAGAGAAAGGCTACCATAACCATGCATTTTTTGTGTATCCTGAGGGTCATAGCCAGTTGAGCGGTCTCAGCGCTTCATCTAAGAAAATTGTTCGTGACATGACGGACGCTTAGGTGACCCCGAAAAAAATTATGGCCGCGCTGAAGGAAAAGAATCCGGGAGACAACGTTCATGTGCGGTAGGTATATATATTTATATCTTGTAATATATGTTTTAATTAAATTTTTTAAGTTAATTATGACAATTAGTAATTTTTTATATGTAAAAGTTATTGTAATAATTAATAAATTTTATTATATTTACTAATGTAAATTAATCGCATTAATATACTTTTTTATTTATTAATATAATAAATTTTTTGTTTTAAATTATAATAGTCATTATAATTAACGCTAATCGGTGACAGGTATATAACTTTAGAGATAAGCTGCGGAGAGAGAGTTCCGACGGTAGAGACGTTCCTTCTCAGCTTATGCATTTGGCCGTGAGCAGCGAGTATACAGTTTATGTAGAATCCGATCCGAACACGAAAGTGTTGACGCATATATTCATGGCCCATCCTGCGTCGATCAATCTATTCCGGACATATCACTGGTATGTCGGTATAGATTCCACGTATAAAACCAACAGGTATGTTACTTTATAAATACTTTATTAGTATGAATTTAAATAGTGTGTTTGATTAAGTTAAGTTTTATGTGCTTATATTTTTTGTCTTCTTGGTCACATTTGCACAGGTACAAGATGCCGTTGGTCGAGATGATTGGGATGACGCCGTGCAACCAGAACTTCCCAATTGTGTATGCCCTCATCAGGGACGAGAAAGAGACCAGTTATGACTGGGTTCTAGAGAAGTTGAGACTACTGATAGGCCAAAGCGTATATCCTTATGTTGTTGTCAGTGACAGAGAGTTGGGTTTACTCACTTCTATTCAGAGGCATTTTCCTGAATCAGCCCACTTACTCTGCACGTGGCACATCAACAAGGATGTGGAAGCCAAAACCTACCAACTATTTGGGAAAGAATAAAAAATTCTCGGAGATTTTCACGCACAGTACGTGGAAGGCGATTGCAGAGGCCAGTACGTTCGATGACTACAACGATGCCGTTGCCGAGCTGCGCGCAAAATATTCGAACAATCCAGAGGTGATACGGTATGTGGAGGGCACATGGTTAGTGCACCGCGAGAAGTTTGTGAAGGCTTGGACCAACCGAGTGACACATTTTGGAAACACAACTTCCTGTAGGGTGGAGAGTGCCCACTCTGCGTTGAAGGGGTGGCTTCAGACGTCCACCGGCGCGCTCGATACGGTTTGGCAGAAGATTAATAAGCATATCGATAATCAAGTGACTGAAATCAAGTACATACTGCAATTTTTAAATGCGTTATTATATTACTGCATTAATTAATTATAATCTAACGTTATGTAACGTATTATCAGGACGGCGCTTGAGGCCTCGAGATCTAAGAAGAATACACGGTATAACGGAATCCGTTTCGCGAGCGTGATACTGAGGGTCTCGCATTACTGTCTGAGTTTATTGGACGCTGAGCTTACGAGGATGCACAAGTTGGACACCGATGCTTACACTAGTTGGTTGTGTATTGCAGCTCACTCATAGACTTCCTTGTGCCTGTCTCCTCCGTAACGCAGTTGATTTCGACGTTCCGATTGATCTCGGAATGATTCACCAGTTTTGGAGAACGCTCGAGATATTAGAGCCAGGTAATTTAAGATTAATGTTTTATTTATAATTTTCTATTAAAATACATTATTTGTTTTAATTCATTGACTTTTTTATTGTATACTTGTAGGGACTGGTCATCCGAGTCAGGCGAGCAACGCTGCATGGTCAGATGCGGCGTTCTTTCAGACGCTTGTGACTGAGGTTGAAACCCGCGATCCCGCGACGATGCGGTACGTGAATCAGTTCATCTACAGTCATCTTTACCCAGACCAACAGGATTATGCGGAACCTGAGGTTAAGGATAACCCGCGAGGTCGTCCCAAGAAAACTAATTTAACTAAGTGTAAACCATCTGCTTTTGAGTACAACGATAAATCGCGAGGTCGGAAATCGAGCCGTACGACCAATTCTTCGCGTGGACAGACAAGTTCGTCTTCTCAATAGTCACAAGGGGATGAAGGTACATTTTTTTTTAAATACGGCTGAGCGTTAATTAAAGTATTTATATGATTATATAAATACGGCAGGACCTCTATGCCGTTGCGACCCTATTTAATGTGGTTGTCGTTCATTTGAGCTCTGGTCCACATGGTGGGCAGCACGACTTATTCAGCACCACAGTGTTGCCTCTCACTGCACGATCATCGGCTAGAGGACCATGTCGTGAGATTGTCATTTGCCATCTTGGTACCGTAGCACACTACATTCGTTCAGATTTGACTGATGATTGTCCATTACCACCTATTCATTTCATGTGGTTCCAGTTCCGAGATCAATCGGTTGTGGGTTGGGAGGATCAGTACGAGTCTAGGTTGCGATTGTGGTTTACTGTTCAAACAAATCATTCTTGAATAAAAGAACGATATTATTCAGTTATGGTATGACACTTCTCATTGAACTTAAATTTAGCAAATAAAAATAAATAAATGAATCAGTTCAACTTAAGTTTAGCAAAAAATAAAAATAAAAATCATTCAACTTAATGTTTTACAATAATAATTAAAAAAAAAACATTCATTACATCATTATTGGGCATTGTC